TTCATTAAAACATATTCACTTCATGGAACATATAAGAGTTAAAAGTATTTATTTAATTGCAAACATATAAGAGTCAACAAAGTTGCAACATAGAATATATGAGTTAAAAGTATTTATTTAATTGCAAACATAATAATAAAATTGAGTTATTTATTTATTACATTCTATATATAAAAAAAAGTTCTAGGTTTTCACTTTTCACAACACCAGCAGAAAACATCCTCGCCTTATTGCAGCCATGGAACTTCCTTTTCTTCCGGCGAAAACCCTAAAAATTACAATACCGGCTGTGGGTGCATGTGCTGGTCTTCCAGCTCTCCCGGTGGCAACCTATGATGTTGAAATACCCGCCGCGCGTGGTCTCACTGCAGAGGAAATACCGTCGCCTCGTCACGCCGCTTCGGAGTTCGATCGGTTAGAACGGATCAGAAAGTGTCGAACACCCGAAGGTTCGGCTTCAGACGACGAGTTCGTCAACGCAATCGAACGTCTATTTATAGCCATTTGCAAGAGGTCCGGCATTGGAAGCACCACCAACGATGTGACGGTGGCGAGGTTGGCGGATTTTGAGGAGGCGATGAATGCCAAATTCGCGAGGTTCGAGTCGGAGTTGCGGGCAGAGGTCAAAACCTTGAAGACAGAGATGGAAGGGTTGCGGTCCGAATTTGCCGGGATCAAAGCATTGTTGAATGAGGTGAATCTCAAGATTGCATCAGCTGCTGGTGAAAACAAGAATTCACCCTAGTCGAGAGGTTATTTAGTGCACTTTATCTATCTTTGCATTATATGGATGAATGAGATGAATCTTGTTACTACTGGAAACTAGAATGCCATTAATTGAGATGTTTGTCGATTTCCCTCTAGTCGACTGGTTAGTGCCCACTTTATTTATTTTGTGTTTTATTGATGAATGAGATGAGTATCAAGATAAACCACATTACTACTGAAAACAAGAATGTCGCTTATTGAGATGCTTGTCGAATTTCCCATAGTCGAACGGTTAGTTTCGCTTTGCTCTTTTTTCTTTTTGGCACTATCGGGTGGGTGTTTCCATGTGTTCTGATAGTGAAATAGAAATAATGTATTGGATAACTATGTTGTCATCCCCAAACATCTTTAGATAATTGTTCAGTAAAGAATGCTATAGTTTGTGGTGAACGCTAAATGATTAGGTAGTGTTGGTTTGGTTGATGTAGAACAGACTTTTCTTCATTCCATTTTGGACCGAAATCAGGTAACACAGAGTAAGAGTCGTTCAGCAATACTCTATTTGCAAATTCTTCTATTTTGCGAGCCAGAAAAGAATTCCTAAATGTCTACTTCTATTCATATTGTTTGTTAATGTATGACATTATGTGCATTTATTGAAATAAGTATGACTGCCGGACAACAACCTTACGGATGGGATATTTGTTCGGTGGTTGGAGAAGCAAATGGTTGAGTTCATCTACTAGTAAACGCCAAATCTTGAAAAGCAATAAAGTTAATTAATATCAGATTACTATTCCTGTTTAGTTTTATAGGCTAGTACTAGTAGTTTCTCGGCTCTTAAGTTTCTTTCTTTGCTACTAGTTTCTTTGATGTACAATTCTTGTCTTAAAATACTTTGTATTTTTTAATCTCTTTGTGTTGTTTTTACACACTTCATGTACATCTTAGCTGTCTAAATCATGAAATTAAAGCACAAATTGCACTTGTATATGTGATTTCCTAATTTATTTGTGGGAACATCATTATATATATGTGAAGTCTATTTTAGTCACTTTTTGCGAAGAGGAGATGCGGTGAGATCACTGAATTAGCTTCGGTTATTAGATAAATTGGTCACTTGTTTAAAATTTGTCTTGTAATGTTCTGATATCGTAGAGATTATGCAACTTAAACTCACAGGGTACTATAAATCCGGACTACATCATTTCAGGTGTTCGTTAGTGTAAATCCGGGCTGCATTATTTCAGCTGTTAGTCTTATTATTTTCCTATTAACCTGGTAAAGGATCATTTTACAAGTTCATCTGCTATATTTTATTTTGCAATCCAATATAACAATCGAACCTTGGTGTGTATGTTTTCAGGTTGGAAGCATCACAAAGTGGCACAAGATTAGTCTTAATTGTTGATAAATTTTGAAGGTCATCTCTAAGGAGTACATTTTGTTTTGCCAAGCATCTTTTTTGGAGCCAAAACTTAGAACTCTGATGCAAACTTAATTGGCAAGAATAGCTTGGTGGAGAATTGAACTCTGTTGTTTATGTAAAGGTTAAGCAAATGCTATCTTTTGTTTCTTGCGTTTATTATGCCAAAGTGCCGACTTTGCTATGATGAGTATTGTATGGGTGTGAGGTCCAAGACCGTTAATTTTGCTATTTGTTGATCATGGAAGATTTGAACCTCGTGCCTTCACCGGATTTCAGCCTTCAGATCACACACACACACACACACATGTGGTTGTGTGTTGATCTAACGGCTCAGTGCTCACATCACTAAGTAAGTACAAATATTCTATTGATCACATCAGTGAATGCCGAATAATAGATTCACTATTTTATGCATTTTACTCTTATCAATCCAAAAATAGCCGAACAAGTTACTATTTGATGATCTCCAAAACCAGTTAAATAAGAAAGAATCTTCATACAATACAAGAATAGAGCCTCATTAAAAAAATTGGCCGTGGACATGGAGAAACAGCGTACTTAGAGCTCAATGACAATATCTTGTTTCCAAAAATATAACAATGAACGATAAATTAACCATCCCAGACAAGTTTCTTATGCATGTCAAACTTCAGAAGAAAAATAGAAAAAAAAAAAGAGAGATAAATTTACATCTGTGGTCCAAGTGGCAACCGGCTCATAAGCTGTTGATAGGCCAAGGATCCATCTGAACCACCGTCCACCACCGGCTCCACCTTAGGTTCGGTTTTTGGAATAACAAGACCCATATCACTCACGGGCCTCGGCCCATATCCTAAATACGGATGAACTTGCATTGGTGGCAGCTTCCCTTGATGATGATGTCCGAAGCCAGCCAAACCCAGGCTGGCAAACCTCTGCTGGCCCAAGCCCAACCCAAACCCAAACCCTGGGCCGGGTCCCATGTGCTGAGGCCTGCCAGGGAAGCCAATAGGACCAAGCAAAGGCCTTTCGAATCGGGCCATGGCTGCATGCATTTGAGGAGGAGGCTCGGCCCGTTGGACGTGTCCACTTGTGACCGCTGCTGCTGCTGCTGCAGCAGGAGTGTGGTGTTGGTTTGTAGTCCCGGAATTCGCGTGGCTGCTATTGCGGGCCGCAGGGACATCGTGATTGTGCTTGCCCTCGTAAGTGGTTATCACTGATTTAAGGTCGTGAGAAGCCCGCTCGACGTGTTTTCGAACGTTGCAGCCCGGGCTCGTGCACTTGTAGTAACTCCTGCAAAATGCATAGGGGTACTTCTCTTCAAAATAACTCTAGTATCTTAACAAACTTCTAATGTCCAAACACCTCTTGTTTAGTTAAACAAGTAGATTGATGGTCATAACAAATGAAGTGATAAATTATCTAACCTTGGATTCGGATTCCCTTTCACAACTTTCTGCCCATATTTGCGCCAGCGGTACCCATCGTCAAGTATATCCACCTCGCTCGTTGTTTGGACCACGACTCTCGGCTCCCTAATTGCCCTCGTGGCCCCACTAACCTCCGAAGCATAAGCCTCGATTCTCCTAAAACAACCCCAAAAAAGAAGAAAAGAAAAAAACTATCATATACGACTACAACAAAAACAATAAATAAATATAAGAGAAAATTGCAATTTTAATATTGTATGTTATCATCAGTAACTTTTTGGTCCCCTTCGAATTGTTGTTTTGAATTTCGTCCCTTGTGTTTACAACAGGGTTACGACAAAAAGGTCTTTTTCGCAACCCCTTCGAATTTGCAAAAAAGTTGCAATTTCGTCGCTCGTGGGGAACTTTTTGCAATTTTTTTGCAAACAGAAAGGACAAAATTCAAAATAGCAATTCGAAGGGGATGAAAAAAAGTTAGGGCAGTGAAACATACCGTACTAAAACTGAAATTTTCTCTAAAAATATAAATATACAAACAAAAGTAGAAGAACCTTCTCTTTAGTTCCGACTCTTCTCCTCCCTCGTCATCATAACCCAACGACACGCTTCCATGTGTCACACGGTCATCTTCATTATCCTCTTCGTTCGAGAAAGTGCACGACCCCTCCACACCGCCTCCATCCACCACTCCCGGCTCATACCGGGCCGGGTCTCCATCTCGGGCCACAACAAGATTCGGCCCATTTTCCGGGTATGTTAATGTTAAAACCTCGGGATTGCTCTGCACGCCCGGCGGCCACACAAGGTTGCCGCCTTCCGGCATAGACTCCACTGGAGCTGTACCCTCGACCGGCGGCCGGCGGCCGGCGGGAGGCGGCTTCGGGTGGGTGTGGGCTCCTTTGTAGATGATCTCGGTGACGTGGCCCTCGTGGGACCGCTCGACTTTCTTCTTCACGGGGCAGTTCGTGTGGGTGCATTTGTAGTAGCTCCGCGGATACTCGCTCCCTTTGACCTGCTTCTGGCCGTATTTTCGCCAGTTGTAGCCATCCTCTGCCGGAGTTCCTCCTGCAGAAGTGCCGGCAGCATTAGGAACAGTGGGGTCTGTCTCGTCATCGAGTGGCGGGGAAGTGTTCTCGGGTGAGAAATTGCTTTTCTCGGGATGAGAGGAAATTCCAAAACCGGGAAAAGGACCCGAAGAAGCGTGTGCCTGCTCGGTCGAGAGAAAAACGGAATATTTTGAAGAGGTGTTTTTTAGTGTAATTCAATTAACTGTAAAATGATGTGAGCAAAAGTGAATACACACTGAACTTACTCTGTTGATAGAGTTGAAATTAGGAGCTGACTTGGACTCGGCAATAGGTTTGAAAACGAATGGCTTGTTATCTTCAAAAGCATTATTCTCCATACACTTGTTATCAGATTCATCTGTCATCATCATCATTGTGGAGTTCTGATTGTTACCACCCAGAGCAAATGCAAATTTTCCAGTTGTTGGGGATGGCTGAACCTGCACATTATGTAGAGCATTTAGATAATCACTTGAACAATTTAATACCGTATATAAGAACAATCATGAATTTACGGTAGTAATTTATTCTTAGGAGTAACTTTTTTAAGCAACACTTACAAAAATCCAAAGGCAACAACTACCTAGACAGCGTTATGCTATGTATTGTTATAAACAATTCAAGAACATCAGAAATGTAACTCCACGCTTAATAATACGTATCCGATATAATAAAACTCACCAGTGAATTAGTTAGGAAAACAGGGGAATCGAGCAGAGTAGTTGGGCTAAGACCAGGTGGTATCGTCAAATAAGGAGACCGAACTTTTTCTTCCTTGGAAAGATCACCGTGTCTAATACTTTCCGTATTTAGCCTTGGAGCATTAAAACCAGCTCTGGCAGCCCTTCTCTCCATAAGGCCTCCACCACGTGAGCTCGTTTTGGGCTCCGTGAGTGCATTCGAGTCGCTTGATCCATCGCCTGGTGTGCTAGTTTGGGCTTGAGGTTTATTCTGATCATACTGTAATTCGGGCTCTTGAAAATAGGGCCTGTTTTTATTTTCATTGCCGATCATTGATGACAAAAGGGACCTTGGGCTCGAACTTGGAGGCATCCAATCTCCCATGATGGCAACATGATCATCGAAATCCCCACCGCCCATGATAATTCTTTTTTTTTGTTTCTTTTCTTAAATCGTAGAGAAGCCCGATAAAACCTGGAAGATGAAGAAAAAAATAATAAGAATGAATATGATTCCGCACTAGGAAAAAAAAAATAGTAACTTTTTATCGTTACGAATGCCAAATTTGTTCGGTAAATACAAGCCTCAAGAAGCAAATCATATTGTCATCTAGACTAAAATCTTAGTGATAGATTTTTTTTGTAATTATCTCATGGCGCTATTGTGGTTGATATATTTCTGTGTCAATCAGCAAATACTATTATTCCTACTTGAAAGTAACTCATCAGAGAAAATAAAAACAATCAGATTTTCTCCACGCCTGATAATGACAGGCATTATATGAACTCCATAGGTCCCCAAAGCTAAAGTTGAACATGAAAAAGTAAACCAACTCCTTCATAAAGTTAAAAAAAATAACTCATTTCTTTTCAATCACTAACTCACAAAATCTCTCTGAGAGATAACTCGAGTGAGTGAAGCAGGAAAGAAGCCTCACAAGAATAAGTTCTATAATATTTGGTCTTCAACATCATTGACAAAAAAGGAAGTAGTGCAAGCTAAAGCAAATCAACATACAGAAAGATTGACCAATCATTGATACGAAGTAGGCCACTTAGCAATGAGTTCTCGAAATAACGACAATTCGGTATGAAACTTCGGTTAAACCCAGAATCCTTATTGAGTGTCCTAGCTAAACAAAGACTACATATCTATCAAAGATTCAACCTTTACAGATAACACAAACATTTCGCATGCCCCAGCTAAGCAAAGACTACATATCAATCAAAGGTTCAATCTTTACAGATAACACCAGTCTTACGATAAACTTTGGTTTTTCGCCTAACCCTGATTCCATTGATAACGAGTGGGACCAAATAATTCAATATGGGTCGTTTGCTAAACCATACCACAAACATACTGCAAGCCCTAGCTAAACAAAGACTATATATCCATTAAAGCTTCAATCTTTACAGACAACACAAACAAAACAACAACTAGAAACAAGAAATTGAAAAGGAAAGACATTATTCAAGCTATACAACCAAGATCTACCTAACATATTCGAGAAAAACACAAAAGAAACTCAAACACATACACATCCTAACCAAATGGGAAACTTCGGATAGAACATAAAACCAAATAATTATCAGCTGGGTTTGACAATAAGGGCACAAACAAACAATGACCCACAACAAATTCCTCAGAGTAAACATCAAAAAAACATGGGATAAATGAAAAAAAAAAATGAAAAAAAAATCAAGAAAGGCTCAATCATTAGCAAATGA